AAAAAAAAAAATTCCATGTAAATCCTGAAGACAGGGCCCCTTGGGGTTAAACACTTTGTCCCCTTCTCCTTCTCCGAGCCCGAGCTCTTCTCTGTTCCCTGGGAATGGAGCCAGGCAGAGGAACCAGGAGGCCAAATACTCTTCCCTCGTTGGGACTCTGGGTTGGAGGCTTTGGGGTTGTTAAAAATGGCCACAGCAGCTCCCAGATGATCTCTGACAACATGGAGTCCAGGTCGCACCAGGTCCCAGCTTCAAGTCCAGGATACAGCCCATTGCAGGGAGCAGGGGCTGCCAGGAGTCCCGACACTCACATGGGGTAATTGAGCACAACATCCTGCTTGGCGAGCTCCAGCAACATAGGATCATCAAAGAACTTGCTGATGCTCACATCCTCACTCAGTCCCTGCAGAGAGTGGGGACAGATGTAAGAAAGAGCCCTATGTGGTGGTCGATTGAGCTGGAGGCCGCCTGAGGCCTGTGCTGGGGTGGGGGGCTGGTGGGGTGAAGCTGTGGACCAGCTATTTCAGGAGTCACCACTGGACAAGATAAGGCGCTCCCTTCCTGGCCAGACTGTGTCCAGGGTCTGGTGGCCCGAGGCCTGGACAGATTGCACCTCTTTGCGTTGTACGGTAAACCGCTCTCAGTCTTTGGGAGAAGGGTCCCAAAGGAAGAAATGAAGAGAGATCCAACTCCTGCCAAGAGCCCTGGGGATTAAGGGCTGGCAATGGGCCTGAGGGACACATACCTTCCTGCGACGGGTTTTGATCATGAATTCTCGGGCCAGGTGAGGAGCTGGTTGTGGCTCCAGGGGACGGATGACAATGCTCTTGTCCAGAGGATCACCGGGCACAATCTGAAAGGCAAAGTGGTTTCCAATGGTCCAGCACTTTTCTCTAGGACGTTGGAAATCTCACTTGGGATTTGAAAGGGGAACAGACCAGAGAAGACTGGCCTTGAACAGGTGGGAGGCCGCACTGGCCAGCCTGCACCATTTTCTCACCTGCCAATGGTGGAAGACAGACAAGGAAAAGGCCTGCCCCTGGGTGTGAGTCCGCAGATCGGTCTCAAAGCCAAAAGAGTCAATGGCGGGGATGAAAGCTTTGATGGTGTAGAGAGGGGAGCCTGGGATGGGTGCATCCTGAGTCACATGCCCCCTGCGACAGAAAAACAAAGGCTGAGTCCCTCATCCTTCAGAGACCAAAAGCAGAGAAGGAATCTGTCCCAAATATACCACAACACAGAGTTACCATCAAAGAAAGAATAACCATAATCGTGCTACAGTGGATGGAAAAGGCTGGGAGGGGGGCGGGGAGGGCTCAGTGTCATTTCCCATGGCAGCCAAAGGGGTAGTGACCGCTACATGAGAGTGGCAACACTGAAGGGACAAGGTCCTACAGACATTCCCCCACTGACACATTTCAGTACTTTCCCCGGGGGGTTCTCCACTGAGAGGGGTCTAAGAAGGAATCTCAACTTTTTATCTGCAGTGAAGCAGGGGTCTGCCTTAATCCTTTCCTACTTCATTTTGAAAAAACAGCTCACTAGGTTCTAGGAGCAGGGACAGTACAGGAGGTCCACCTCCTTCCCCACGGAGCCCAGTTACTCTTGTGGTGCTCCTGTTCCCTGCACCATCCCTAACATGCCCACGGCTCACCTGCGCCTGGCCAGGACAGTATACACAGCAGAGACACAATCTGCAGGGGCCTGGACCTCCACGAAGTAGTAAGGCTCCATCAGACGAGGAGTGGCCTGCAACAGGGCAAGAAGAAAGAGTTCCTTAGCTTGGGTAAGGCTGAGGATTGAGGACCTGGACAGAGAAAAAGGCTGGAGGGACTGTGGTCTTGAGACCTGCATAGCTAGAATTTCCACATAGTGTCCCCGAGCAACTCAGCTCCACTCACTTACCATGAGGAAGGCAGAATAGACAACTCTCCTGGCCGTGGGGATGATTTGGCCCCCGCCCCGGTGCAAGGGCTCTTGGGCAACCACTGCATCCAGGATCTTAAACTTGACATTTCGAATCACTGGAAAGGAGATGGGGGGGTTGATGACTGAGGAGCGGTTCTGGTGCTAGTCAAGGGCCCACATGCAGGGAGGGCACCAAGGAGCCTCTAGCAGCATGGCAGCTGTCTTAAGATCACAAAAGATATGGGACAAAATCACCCTGCAGATGGGTGTTCTGATAGTATACCAAGGCCTATAGCAGAGGACAGAAGTTAGGCACACATTCTTTATGTTTGTTTCAGGCCACGCTCAGGCATTGTAAAGCTTTCCTAGAAGTTTATGGGATTTTTTTTTTTTTTTT